CCTCAAGTATCCCCAGTGGAGTCGTTATTTTATCGTACGTGTGCAGCGTCGCGACAATCGTTCACTCTCTAGGAAAATAATGAATGGTGTATCTCTGACAAATATAAAGAGACAAGGAATTCTTGTCTCTCATCAGTGGAAAATTTGAATGGGAGTCGCCACCTAGTATTCTGGTTACTAGGAACCCTAACTGGTCTTAAAGATCGGGTACGGGAACTGGTTGCTTAAAGGGAAGGTATTAGTACCCCAAATACACCCTACCAAAGGTAGGCTGCATTGTTTTGTCTGATAACATCTAAAGTCGTGTTGTGGTTTCTAATTGTTAGTCTGTCTAAGGTTCAAGACAAGTTATCCTTAATGAGGAGGGATCATATCTTAATGCGATACAACCTGACTGTTCTAATGTTTGAAAAAAAAAAGAATTAAATATCTAAAATATATATTACATGTCATATCATCCCCCAAATACCAAGAAACAACTAAAATAAAATTTTTGTTGTTTTTGAAATTTTAACAATTTTCTCTTAACTTTAATAAATTGGTTATTAAAGCTAAAATATATGCTAAAACATTGTTTTTGATGTATGAAAAATAAAATATGATTTTTTTTAGCTTTTGAGACATTTGGCCATATGCACAAAAATATTATTTTTTTTCAAGTTTTTTTGTATTTTTGGAAGTTTTGACGAAAACTAGGTATTTTAATACCGGATTTGTATTTTTATGACATAAAAATACTGCTTAATATTACTCAAAATGACATAAAAACTACGTGAAATAATTATAAAAATTTTGAAACAAGTATTTCAATTTTTTTTGAAATAGATCGGGTCAAGCCCATATACATGGGTCTGGCCGAACCGGGCCCAACTACATGGGCTCGGCTCGACCCAGCCCATATTAGCTGGTTACTATGCATGAGCATAATAACCAGCTTCTCCCTACTTGCAGACATGCATTGTGCATGTCTTGCATGGCAAGGGAAGGAGTGAAGGCAAAAAAAAAAAAAAAAAAGGCCGAAGGCGTACCTGGAGTGGTAGCGCTTCCACCTGGAGCAGTGGCCGGCAATGCTGCTGGGGAGCTGATGGTAGAGATGGCGATTTCTTCTTTCTCTTCTCCCCTATTTTTTTCTCTCTCTTCTTCTTGATTCTTCTGTATTCTCCCTTATCTCTCATTTCCTGTTCCTCTCATTCTCTCTTGGTTCATTCCCTCTTGTTCTCTCGGTCTCGGTCTGTTTCCTCTTCCTCTCGGTTTTTTTTTTATTTTCATTCAGTCTCTCCTATGTATTTATAGGAAAACAAGGGGGAGAGAGGCAGGGGGGGGGCATTGTGCCACTGCCCCTCCACCGTCCGTCTAACACGTGGAAAGTGGTCAGCGTCTTTTTGATGTATTGTGCAACTGCCCCTCCACCGTCCGTCTAACACGTGGAAAGTGGTCAGCGTCTTTTTGATGTTGATGGCGGTGACAAAGAAAAGAACAAAAATCTTCTTCTTCCCCTTCTTCGTGCTTCCACGAGAAGAAGAAGATATATAGTGCCTTCAAAATGGCACCGTTTCGAGCCTTTTTTTTTTAAACAGTGCATGAAACAATGTCGTTTTAGTCAAAACACCCTGTTTCATTTAAATGAAAAGGCGGCAAAAACATGTCAATTTTCACATTGATCCTCAATTTGTAATTTGTTTAATCAAGTCTTAAATTGCAATTTTAATTTAAAAATCAATGCAATTGCATCCCTACCAAAAATCCAACAGCAGCCTTAAAGTTGGCTGCCTTTTTCACTTTGATCCTTAGTCTTGAATTTATGCAATTTGACCCTCACTTGATTAATAAACTTCTAATCTCTTCAATTGAATCCCTGATTTGGTTTTAATTACAACCCCTTTATTTATATGTCTTTTTCATTTTAGTATTTAGTTTCGGATTTCTTCAATTAATCCCTAATTGGCAATCAAATGTCAATATTTATGCAATTAAGTTTCTGATTTGACCAAATTAACTTCTAAAAATTATAATTTGACCCCAGAACTTTAATTTCTTCCAATTAAAGCCCAAATTAAATCCAAAATCAATTTTTCTTGCAATCAAACTCTCTATAAATTCAATTAAACCTTCAATAAAAGTTAATTGAGTCCATAAACATCTGATTTTGGACTTTTCTTACTCAAAATTGATTTTTTTTATCAACATGGCTCTCATCAATCAATAAAATATTGTCAAATTTTAATTTTTGTATTTTTGAACCTCCTCAACCAATTTTTGAATATTTTTAGAGCATTTTGGCATCCTTTTTTCACTGTTTTTTTATTTTTTTTATTTTTTTATTTTTCATGCAGGGGGCCAAAAATAGGTTATGATAAAAATTATGAATGAAGAAAAATGAAGGTTAGAGGATGAAGAATAACTTTTCCCTTCAATTTTAGATTGGTCATAAGTTTTCTCTTTATTTTACACTTTGGTCCTTTATTGTTGAATTTTTATTTCCCTAATAAATCTTGATAAATTGGTCATAAAATTTGGCATCTAAAGTTAAAATTAAAAAAACAATTGAAGGCTGAAGAAATGATATCATTCACTACTATAGTGAATTTCCTATGTGTTTTAGTTTTTGTTACTAGTTACTTCTCACACTATGCTCAAGTTGGACTAAAAAAAAAAAATTTTAAAAAATAATTGGTAAAAATATAGTTTGATTTTTTTAAAAAATTAAGATTGTATTTTAAAAAAAAAACACATTGAAAACTTAGTATTGGATTGACTTGAATCAACTTGAGTTAAGTCACCAAATATATAATATGGATTATGAACCTCAATGCTCAATAACAACTTTTTTATTTAATTCTATGATGAAAAATGAAGAACAATTCAATATAATATTTTAAAAAAACAACAAATAAATTTATAATAAAAAACAACAAGTAAATTTATTTCAATCCTTTATTGGTATGATCAAATAATGAAAATAAAATATTTTAACAATTTATTTATTTATTTTTTATTTTATTTTGGAATGTAAACAAAGGAAGCCTTAAAGTGAGAGAAAGAATAGCATTAATAAATACGCAGACGCGGCTCGGTCTTGAGGTCAACTCAAAGACAGAATTGAAAGACTACAAACATGCAAAGCGTCTTCTCCTGCTCCCTAAGATATATGATATCACTATCAAGATCCAAAAGGACTTTGAATTGGAGGAATCTTTGGATTCATGTGCTGCTGATAACCACGAAATGAATGCAGTTTCATAGGTTAAGCTCTACAAGACTACAAACAAGGCATAGTTTCACACTATACACTTAGAAAATGCCTGGTCAGTGATCACCCTCATTTCATTATCATGTTGTTTAGAAAGGATTTTTAAAGAAAGGCAATCGTGCACGCGTCTGCCAAGGTTTGGGTTTTTTAGCTACGAGGATAATCTTATTAAATAATGAATTTAATTTTTTTAAAAGAAACCTAATATAAATTAAATTCAAATTAAATTAGATTAATCTGATCTAAGTTATGAAATCAGATTATTTCATAAAAACAAATAAAAAAAATTAACAGAAAGCTAATATTGAAAAATAAATTACAAAAAACAAAAATAAGTCAGGGAAGGGCACCTAGACCTTAAGAAATCCCGGGCATATGGCCCTGGGGTGGGCACAGAGTCCTTGAAAGTATTTAGGTTTTTTTTTTTTTTAAGTCCTTGAAAGTATTTAGGTTTTTTTTTAAAAAAATTTTTAAAGGATAGATAACATATCACTGGCTTCTATTTTATTTTTATTTTTTTAAATAATTGCCGTGTGGCCTACAAGTGCCCAACCAAGAATTTGTTTCTTGGTCTCCATTATGGTAGTTGAAGAATTGAGGGGTGAGGTTTTTGGGGTTGAAAATTTAGTTTTTAATTTATTTTTATCTAAAAATATATAATTAAATATCATAAAAACCTCTAGAAATCACCTATTAACTTAAAAAAAAAAAAAACTTAATATAACTCGAAAACAAAAATCAATCAATTAAAAAAAAATTAAGGGATTCACAAAAGTAAAATAGAACTCAATTTAAATAGAAGTTGAAAAAAAAAAATAGTCAGGCATGCATGCCTAATCCTTGAAGAGTCCTATGCTCATGAGCCTGGGAAGGCTTACAGTCTTCGACGATATTTTTTTTCTCTCTCTTTTAAGCATGTCATTTGCTTTGTTTTTTCAAAAAATAAAAAATAAAAAATAAAAAAGAAGAAATAATTGACACATAGCCTACTAATACTATCCAGCCCAAAATCTGGCCTCTACTTTGGTGGAGGGAGGTTTGGGTTGAAAGTTTATTTTTTTAATTTATTTTTACTAAAAAAAACATGTAATAAATACTAAAAAAACAAAAAAAAATTTTAAAAATCAAAATAGAACTTGATCTTTTTTTTTTCAAGTATAGTTATAGAAAAAAAGCTGTTATCATTAAATTCTCCTCATTAAATAGAATATATTAACGCTAAAAATAATAAGTTTTATCACTGAAAAATGTAAAAACCGATGATTTTTTTTCGTAGTCTTTTTCAGATAATTTTTTTACTCTTCTCTCTAATGTTAAAAAAATGAATTTTCAAACCAATGTTGGAATTTTAGAAAATATAGGGACTCTAGAGGAAGAAAAAGAAAAGTATGAAAGGGAAGAACTCCCCCGCTGAATTTTAGATTGGCCATGGTTTTTTGTTTTTTAACATTTTGATCTCCTTGTTTTGAATTTTGTTCATTCTTAAACAAATTAATTATCAAATGGGATATAAAAAACTGCAATTAAAACAAATAAAAAGTCAAGGACTGAAAAAAAAAAAAGTTTCTCAGATTGAGGGGGAATTAATCAGTAACTGACAACCATTGGCATATCAACATTGATCCTACGGGATAGAACATCAAACATTATCATGTGGAAGACGGCTCTTCTAAGAAGATGGACTGATATAGCTGGATTTTTTTTAGATTATTATTAGAAAAATATTCAAGAGGGGCCGTCCAAATTCGCAGTCCCTTCCAAATTCGCAGAATTGTGTGTTCTTCTTCATCCAATCATCAGCACATAAGAGATCAGCACTGCAGAAATGGATGCACCTTCACAGCAAGAGATGTCATACTATGATCACGTTAAGAGACGCCACGAGGACAAAGGCTGCCTCTATGCCTTGTCAGTATATCCATCTTCTTTTGTTTTCTTTCTAGCACCTTTTTTTTCCTTTCGTTTTCTTGACTGGTTCATATCCAGTGTACTGTTTGATTGGTTTTTTTGTCAGTATATCTTTACTTATTCATGGATTTTGATGATGATGCTGTTGTGCTTGTGATACAGCTTCTTCGCTCTATGTTGCTGCAGTGAAACTTGTGAGTGCTGTTGCCGCAGTGAAACTTGTGAGTTCTGTTGCCTCAGTGGAACTTGTGAGTGCTGTATGCAGCTGTGTGCAGTGTTGCTGCTGTGCTTAGGTCACTAGTCCAAGGAATGGAAGTAGTATGAACTTTTCCCCTGAATTTTAGATTGGCCATGGTTTTTTTTTTTTTTACATTTTGATCTCCTTGTTTTGAATTTTGTTCATTCTTAAACAAATTACTTATCAAATTAGATATAGAAAACTGCAATTAAAAAATAAAATGTCAAGGACTGAAAAAACAAAAAAAGCTTTAGCTTTTGTTATAATAACTATAACTATAATTTGCCATTTTAATTCCTTGTTAAGCAAATAGGGCAAGAATGAATGAAGAACCTCTCTCCAATTCATGTGAAATGGAGAGCAAGTGGTGCCTCTTCACCAAACGAGTTGAAGCTCATTCTCATCCTAGTAAATCTTATATTTCTCATGTTGATGATCCTCTGCAAAATTTAACTTCGAAATGCCTTGATTAGCCACTAATCTATCAAGCAGGCTACTAAGCTTCTTCTTTTTTTTAATAATAAATTGGAAAACATTTTTCCCTCTCTAAATGCTAATTTCTTATCCGTTAATTGGTATTCTAAAGTGATGCTCAACATTAAAAAGTCGGGGAATTAATCAGTGCCTGACAAGCGTTGGCATATTAACGTTGACATATAACTGCCTGCGGGCTAGAACATTAAACATTATCATGTGGAAGAAGGCTCTAAGAAGATGGACTTCATTTCTCATATATAGCTGGATTTTTTTGAGATTATTATTAGAAAAATATTGAAGAGGGCCCGTCCTAGCTACTCTCCAACAACCACCATAATAAGGCGGATAGGCAAGTCACAGACCCTCTATGTTATTGCCTATATGTATTTTGGAGTCCCTTCCAAATTCGCAGAATTGTGTGTTCTTCTTCATCCAATCATCAGCACATAAGAGATCAGCACTGCAGAAATGGATGCACCTTCACAGCAAGAGATGTCATACTATGATCACGTTAAGAGACGCCACGAGGACAAAGGCTGCCTCTATGCCTTGTCAGTATATCCATCTTCTTTTGTTTTCTTTCTAGCACCTTTTTTTTTCTTTTGTTCTCTTGACTAGTTCATAACCAGTGTACTGTTTGAATGGTTTTTTTGTCAGTATATCTTTACTTATTCATGGATTTTGATGATGATGATGATGATGATGATGATGCTGTTGTACTTGTGATTCAGCTTGTTCGCTTTATGTTGCTGCTGTTGCTGCAGTGAAACTTGTGAGTGCTGTGTGCAGTGTTGCTGCTGTGCTTAGATAACCAATCCAAGAAATGGAAGTAGTGCTTCCAACCAGGAAGAAAAGGAAAGTATGAAGATGAAAGTAATTCCATATTTTCCATATTCCGTAACTTTCCAATTGTGTGAAGTTTCATCAGCTTGTTCGATCTATGTTGCTGCTGTTGCTGCAGTGAAACTTGTAAGTGCTGTGTGCAGTGTTGCTGCTGTGCTTAGATCACTAGTCCAGGAAATGGAAGTAGTATGAAGATGAAAGTAATTCCATAATTTCCATGTTCCTTAATTTTCCAATTGTGTGAAGTCTCATCAGCATGTAAAAAGTTGGTTCTTTTTCATGTTATTTCTTTGAAACATTAGCTTCGTGATCCATATGAGCTGTGTTCGATCACCAGTTAGGTCTGTTCGTTGATTGAAGTATGTGTCTTAGGGGATAAACTGCGGATTTTTTTTATATATAATTTCTTAAAACAGAACGGAAATGGTGATCAAAATTCGTTCCAAAAGAAAATCTACCTCTTGAAATTGGGGGAGGAGCAGTGCCAACCTGCCATTTGTTTGTTTGAAGTGAGATTACCACATGTTCCATACAGATGAAAGTTTTCACCAGGAGAAATAAAGATGTTACAACGACTGTTCACGCTTTCCCCATTGCACTTGGTGAACACGGAAAAGCTTCATTTGTTGACCTACCAGAAACATGATGACTAGGCAAATTCATGGAAAAAAAAGTGATTTCTTGCTGCCTTGAGCAAAGTAGGAATTCTTGGTGGGAACCGCGTGCCATCCGTGGCATATTCTGCCAATTCCGTAGACAACATGATCTCAAGTCCAGTCAATAACACGGGGCTTAACAAGATTTTCCATTCATTTGAGAAACCATGTTATGTTACATTGTACAATTAGATTACATTTATGCATTTACTTAGGAATGTTCCCCTTAATGATGCAGACAAGAACAGGCGCCCATGCAAAAAATTGCATTACACCACTTGAAGAAATCAAAAAAGGCCATTCAGATCAATCTTCGCTCTGAAATAGTCATCTAATTACCTAGGATAGGATTTCTATCTTCATCAATTTCGATGAGGAGGAGATTCTCTTGATGTGAACCACTGGGTCCTTCAGCATAAAGGGTGGGAAGGTAAGCCTTGTACGCCGGTCGGTAACGAGAAACGAAATCTTTGACCTGCACATGAACACCATAAGAAGCTTCAGCATAGAACACAGGCTTCGCTTTAAAATCTGTCAAAATAGTTTATTATGTTAATGGAAATGAAAGCATACCTCTTCATCAGTCATCCTGGGGTTGCCTGCCTCCCTCATGGCAATCTTTGCCTGCAAAACCCCATGACATTGGTCAAAGATGCAGCTTATGAGATGAGTTCTTCGATGGCAGCGTGTAATCATGTTAAATTTAACAATCAACCTGCAAGCACCTTTGGTAGACACAACTAGGGTCCTGAATCTTGATGACTACCCATGCCTCAACGAACTTGTCCCATGCATCATAATAAGCTTCAAGATTCTTATTTACGATCTCTATTTGTCTCAAAAAAAAAAAAAGGTAAGCTTAAGCTACAATTAATGGTCAAATACCATAAGAAAAAAATGACCTCTATGAAGAGTATCCTGAGGTACGCGTAAATAAAATTAACCTGAGGATCAACTGCTTGGACGACTTCCACTGGAAGTGGTTTAAAACCAAGCATCCAACCTTCAAATAGAGCCACCTACAGAATTATCCAAAGCACGTGAGAAAAGGATCATTTACAGATTTCCTGTCTTCAAAATAGAAATAAATAACGAACTAACCACTCTGGGTTCTGTCCCACCCCCACACCAAAATGCAATCTTACTTCTTAACCCAATTGCTGGTATTAAATTGGATTCAAAGCTATTGTAATGATGAATATATTAACCACCAATTTGACATAGTCAGGGTGCTGTATGCTCTATGTTTTCTTTTTTGAGCCAGTGAACATTCATGCCAACTCAAAAGCAGCTATTTTGCCAGCAATAAATTCAAGATTTTCTTACTGTTAATGGTGCTTCAACCTCTGGCCATGTTAAAGGATCAGCTCTGTCACCTCTTCCACTGTATGCAGACTACAAAGAAGAACAACCTATCATTAACAACTGTAGGCTCAATTAATCGAGAACAGCGCAAAACTAACACTGCAGTATACTTTATCTTATTGAGGCAGCCTCATCTTCATACCTGAACACTTAATATGGGTACCAAATCAAAATAAGAAAGCAAAGTGCAAAAAAGATAACTGAAGCAAACTCTTACCTGCTTTCTTCAGTTTGCTTAAAGCAGACAGTGTTTCAATTGAGAATGGAAGATCATGACTCCCAGTGTTTCCTCGAAACTGGAAATAATAAAAGATAAAAGGAAAAGATAAAACAAGACAGAAACCAAATTGTCTGGTTTTCTGATGATTAAAAACATCTCATTAACTTCTTTTATTTGACAATTGTTTAAAAAACATGTTGATTGCTACCTCTAGAAGCGCATTTCCTGGATTGGCTTCTTTTAGATTGGCCTGGAATTCATGAAAATTTGCGTCAGCAACTAAAACATGAAGATAAAGCAAGCAAATGCAAGGAAGTCCCTAAAATTTACATGACCCTCTGCCGTTAAAAAAAAATCATCTATGGATTTGCGGACTTCCTGATAGGGGAAGACAACAACTTTATTGAGAACTAAGTGACAACTGAGAAATAATTTACAGCTATTACACATACTTGTATGATAGCATGTACCTGCCAGTCGTCGGGAAGATATAACTAAGAGCAAAGACAAGTGTGGTCTTTCCACAACCTTGTGGAGCACTAAAACCAATCTACACCAAACCAGATGTCAGCATCATGAGATGAAAAGAACTGCACAGCAACTACCATTCTTTGCAGCATGACTACATGGCTTAATAAATACCCTGCGGCCCTTTTTTCTGAAATATGCTAACGGGATGAGAGCTAGTGTAGGCACTTGCATCAGAATTGAAAACAGTTACAAGGAAATTACATGCGTAACACTAAAGGAGGTATATCTTCCGAGTCTTTGAACTGGGACACGTGCTTAGAAATCTTATCTTCACACCATACAAAGACCGGTATATAATAGTGATAAAACCTTGCTTTCTGAGGAGCAGTAAGGTACAATTCATTAAGCTGAAACAATCGGCACAAGCGCAAGCCATATGATAACCACTTGTTGATTGAGTCAGCAATCCTTTCCGAGGTCAAACCCAACTTGCTTATAAGAGGACCCGAGCAAATAAATTCGTAAAGGTCCTCCACGGAAGAGACCGGTGCAGGTGTTGAGGGAAACACCAAAGACAATGGACCCCTGCATCCTTCTATTGCTGGAAGTTGAGTTCTGATGCATGGAACTGTCTTGAATCCAGGAATATCCACTGCCTGCACACAGCATTAGAAAGATCATCGCATTTTATGATATTCTTCATGCAAAACGTCAACAAAGAAAGAAAACCCTCCTCAGGTTAGACCTAATGTTCGGGGGAATTATGGGCAACCCGGAAGCCCAGATCGATGGGACAACCGAATCAGGGATACCCACAACAGAGAAACACTGATCAGTGGGGCCCACGTGTGGGCCCGGACAATCGACGACAGGATATGAATGTTAATGCTCATGCTAATGTTCCAGCTCCGCCTCCGCCTCTTTCAGTTTATGACTTGGCGCTTTTGTGTCAAGAGGGTGAGGTTAACCAAGCTATAGAGTTGATGGATAATGGGTTTAAGGCCGATGCTGATTGTGTTTATATTTTGTTTGAGATGTTCACGAAACGTGAGCATGCCAAGAAGGTTCATGATTATTTTTCGCAGCTGACCTTCAGAGGTGATGTTAAGTTGAACAATAACGCGATTAAGATGTATGGGAAATGTGGGAGTGTGACGGATGCAAGGAGAGTTTTTGCTCATATGTCCTGCAGGAATATGGATTCGTGGCAATTGATGATAAATGGGTTTGCAAATAATGACCTGGGAGATGAGGGGTTGCAGCTGTTTGAGCAGATGAAGAAGTTGGGGTTGGAACCCACTGGGGAAACATTTTTTGCTGCTTTGTCTGCTTGTGCAAGTGCATAGGCAGTGAAGGATTTTTATATTTTGAGGACATGAGCAAGGAGTTTGGGATTAGTCCAACTCTTGAGCATTATTTGGGAGTTATAGATGTTCTTGGAAAGTCCGCATATATTAACGAGACTGAGGAGTATATTGAGAATCTTCCATTTGAACCCACAGTGGAAATTTGGGAGGCCTTAAGGAAATATGCTCAAAATCATGGAGACATTGATCTTGAAGACGAGGCTGAAGAATTGATCGTTTCCCTTGATCCATCAAAGGCTGTTGCTAATAAAATCCCAACTCCGCTAATTAAACTATGGTATCGAGAATTCCCTTCAAGTGCAAAGAACAGAGGCCAGTGCTCTCCTTTGGCAGGTTGGTTGTACATTAGTAGTTGTTTTACTCTCCTTTATTCAAAGCAATTTTATTTTTTATTGAGCAGAATAAATCATCTGAAAGAAAGTGGAACATTTAGGAGAACTATGGATTAACTTCTTTGCAGTCTATTCCTTTTAAAACAGATTGCAGCACTTTTGCGGTGAGTCAACTTAATGCTCCTCTATGGTTTATGCAGGTGTCGATGCTTGATGGTTAGTTTTCAATTGGAAAATTTGCATGGTGTTTTTGGTGGTTTCAAATCCTGTTTCCATGCCTTCCCTGCTTGAAGGTAGTCACAAATCGGAAAAATCTCTCTGGTAAACAGGTAACTTTTCTCGAGAATTGATGGGAACTTGTTATATAAATGTGGTGGGAAGGGAATGTAAGGACCAAGGAGGATTATTTGAAGGTTTTCTCTGCTTTGATGTAATTAGCTTACAGTCTTTTTCTTCAACATTGATGTTTATTTTTGGATCTGCGATGATTTTTTTTGGTGTGCGTGATTTATGATTTCTTTTTTATTGATATGAAACAAGTCTTGACTGTCGATGAAAGCAGTGTTCGATAAAGAAGAATAATCCATTATTTTTGGCCTTCCTATCTGAACAGATCTTATTTCGAGCTTCATATTACATTCACTTGAAGACTTAAATGAAGTGTTCATTATTTTATTTTTTTCTCCTCTGGGATTTGCTTTTATGCATTCATGAAGCTGTGAGAGTAGTTTATTTACCAAAAACAAACAGAGTTTTGCCTTTCATTACAGGCCAAAATGAGTGGTGTTTTTTCGGTCTGAGCTAAGCCAGTAGAGAAAGGCACCTTTGGTCCGTGTTTTGTTGCCTGTCTGTATTTTTATGTAAAAAAAAATGTCTAGATGATGTAGCATGTAAGAAAAATAAGAAAACAAATAATTCAGATTATAGCCTTGATTGTGTTTTAATAAGTTGATTTGACAAGAATTTTTTTTTGTTTTTGATAAAGATAGTAAACGAACATTTTTTTTTCTTAAAATAAACATGATTACTTGAAAAAACAAAAAAGTCTTTGAATGTATGCAACTAAATAAAAAAAGAAAACAAAGGTCGAATTAATTTAAACTAGATATATACCTTAACTTGGATAATAAGGCAAATCAATGCAACTAAATAAAAAAAGAAAACAAAGATGGAATTAATTTAAACTAGTGTAATAGATATATAACTTGGATAATAAGGCAAATTAATCTAGATAAATCTATAAAATTTACGATCTAGGTCATAATATTGAGATAATTTGATAAATTATAATATTGAGATAATTTGATAAAAAAAATTTAAAAAAAAACAACAAGGTTAATTTAAAAACAAAAAACAAAAACTAATGTCAAACAATAAATTCAAAAAAGAAAATAAGCCAAAAAAATTGTTGACCTCTATTACCTACTATCTAAATTATTAAACTAAAATTATTATACATAAAGTTAATTTTTAACAAATTAAATATGAAAAAAAAATTGAGAAAAAAAATCAATTGCATAAAATGATCTATAAAAATAGCAATTAAAAGAATAATGATGAAAATCAAAATAAAAAATAAATTAGAGTGCAAAAAAAACAATATTTATTGAAGAATTAAATTAAAAAGAAAAATAAATCTAAAAATAAAAATAAATTAAAAAAATAAAAATCAAATTAGAAAACAAAAACAGCAACAAAGAAAATCAACTTGTATTTTTCAAGGTATGAGAAAGAAAAAAAAACATTAATTAATGATAAATCGTGTTATCATTACTGATATACGTCACACCAGGAGGTAAAAGACATAGTGAAGCATCTACCAATATAGCAAAAAGGCATTTTATGCCACTAGAAGATGCTACTATATATGTCAATAACTTTTTAAAATTAAATAATATTTAATTAATGTTAAAAAACAAGAACACCCTTGATTAGCTCTAATAATTACAAAAAAAAATAACCAAAAACCCATGAACTAAGATTTAAAGTTTTTGAATCCAAGGTAAACTAGTCAATTTATCTTTATTAGTTTTATAATGTTTTATTTTAGGGTAATTAGATAATTTTACAATCCTCTTTAATAATTAATACACATTGTAAAAATATAAAAATATGCTTGCAACAAAAGCAAGTGGTATTTTTTTTTTTAAAAAAAAGGATAATTATTATTTTATTATTGTAATGATTAACCAACAAATATTTAAAAATACAAGCCAACTCATGTTTTTAAAAATTTTAAATTTTAGTTTTTTTGCTAAAAATTAAGTTTTTTATATTTTGTATCTTTATGATAATTTTAAAAATAATTTTTAAAAAATAAAAAAATATTATTTTAATATATTTTAATATTATAAACACTTTAAAAAATAACCGGTCATATTTTCAACGGATCCTTAGCGCATGATATTTTTGCCTTCAGGGGTTTTTCTTTTCCTTTTTGTGGGGTCGGCTAAGTAACCAACACTTTGTACGAACCAGGAAAGACATTGAGAAGAAAGAGGTATCAGGAGTAACAAATCCATAGAAAATTTTCAACAGGCAATTGGAATCCCTAATACCATAAGCAAAGCCAGCCTTGTTAGCATTTTCTGATTCAAAGTAGAAGACGTCTGATAATAAAACAACCACAGACAGATATCAAAATAAGCTCTCCCATCCAGTAACTAACAACAGACAACAAAAGCATCCTAAGGAAATCATGCTAACAAGCTACTCCTTGAAAGAAATAATTAACTTAACTGGGGCAAAGGCTGCCGAAGTTACACTTCACCAGTTTTGCATCATGTCTTCCACTATTTACAGTCTAACAAATAAATTCTCTGTTGATAAGAGAAGCAAGAGAAAGAAATATCGATGGTTTTACTGAAATCCATGGTAGCTTGACAGCCCTCATTTTAGACTAGATATATCCTTAAAATTACCCGAGTTGGAAACACCAAAACCTGATATAGATCATCAAAATCTATACACAACTTTAGGGGACAGAAAAAAGGATCAGAATGTATATATTGAGTAAAAAGGTTTCAGATTATATATCATATACAATCTCATGAAGGATATAATAAAAGCCAGGAGGAACTTCTTTTGAGATGTGTGTATGTTAGCAACCACTTTCAAAAACGTGGAACCAGTCTGTTTATCTTCAGAATAGCGTTTCAAGCAGTTTCGGAGAAGACAAAGCAGACACAGATTTGAACTGCCATGAGAACAAGTCGATTAGCAATTGGAATGAGATCAAACCACAATGCAAGTGCATTTACCACGGAGCCTGATATCTTGTAAATTTTGTAACACAAAGGAAAACACTTGAAGCTGACACAGAAGATGCAGAAAATAAATAGAAAGGTAAAATAAAAAGCAATCTAGGTCCCTTGAACAGTACTCTTAGTTTATACCTTCGGTTGCCTATACTTCATGCGTATGGCATTCAGAGGACACCCACTGGTGTTCAGTTGTAAATCTTGCATTGCAAGAACTGTAGTTTTAAGATCTGACGCCTTGTAAGACGTGTACTTTTCTAGGGTAGGACTCTGTCAAATACACAAACAAAGTCAGGCTCCAGCTGCTTAATCTAAAACAATATCGAAACACAGATAATAGGAAGGAGAATGCAGACCCATGGATGGCTTGTCTGATCCAGAGTCCACCTGGCAAGAAATACAGATGATGCGGCAATGACAGAAGGAAGAAAATTCAATAAACTGTAGTCAACTAATGTCAGTTCTGCAAGGTAATCAGCCAGGTACTCTAGTTCATAGCTAGGGCTCTGCAAATATGCAATTACATATGTAAATGTCACTTTTTAATTAACAGAGGCTAGTATCTTCTGAAACAAACTTGGATATGAGCTAAACCAACCACATTACCTTGTATGATGCCTGTGCTGCACGTAAAAATCTCCTGAAAACAAAGAAATTTGCAGAAGCAACTGCATTATTGATACTGAAATGATTTCTTGTAACAATCATAAATAAAAAGGTGAAAATTCGATAAGCTTAAGCACCTCAGAAACGTTTTTGCAGTGGGAGCAAATATTTGAAAGCCAAAAAAATTTAACACTTGAGTCTCCATCCTTAGCACCTGCTCCAGACTTTGGTCAGGACCAACACCAAAAATATTCCAACAGGGAGGCAAAATACAAAAAAGCAAGAAAGAAAGAAAGAAAGAAAGACAGAAACTGTCAACTCGTATTATACAAGGGTTTTGTATTACTGTTTCATCATTTTTTAATCCAATCTCAAATTTCACATGTTGTTTAGTCATTTTTCTTCCAGCCCACCAAATCAACACACAAATGAAGGGGAAAATGACAGAAACAGGGTTATACGATTCTTCATCTCAATTTTTAAAAAGCTGGCAAAGGTACGCAAAATAAGAAAGGACTGACATGTGATAGATTTGAATAGATGGAAGACATAAAATAAAAGGAAGATGATATTCGCTTCACAGCGTCAGTAATTCATGCACTCATTTGGCAAACAAACAATGACGACATACCTCAAGGCTCGTGTATGTGTTGTCAGTGATGAAGCAAAATTCTTCCACTCGCGGCGAACAAATCTCTTCATATTTGCTTCAGGACACAGTAATACATTAAACATCAAACTAAACAAACAATATCAGGTAATTTACGGCTCTGAATAATAAATTATTCTCACCTCTAAAATGGATATTTCAATTAGCTCCTAAACTAAGAAAGAATTTTTTTTTTTTGCTATGTTGCACCCAGCCTTTCGTTAAAATTTCATGTTACCGTTATGTGCACTGAACACTGCAAAAGATATGAGAACTTACGAAGCTATTAGCATGCAAGTGATACCAAGTAGTTGAAGTCTCTGTCTTTCAATGTAATTTTGAGAGAGAAACCTATCTATGAGATATACTGTGAGGTAAAGCGTGTCTGGCACTAACTTATATTCCTCAGACACCTGGAAGCAAGTTCAAACAGATCTGTGAATTATTTGTGTAGAATTCATATTTCATATATAAACTATATGAGTTTAATACTGCAATAATAGGCTTATAAACTGTTACAGTCCATTGAGAAACTATAAAAGGTGAAAATTAAGATAAAAGAGTTTGTTTCCATAGAGTGCATTCAACACAGAAATGAACTATGAATGATAGTTACAGTTCAAATGAAACATAATTATAACGAATAAAAAACACAAAGCATACATGGGCCAGCATCAATATACTTTTCCACATGAACAGATATAATCTGCAACAACCTTTTCCCAAACATAGTGGATGCCTTACTATAACTTTTGCAATAATATTATTTCGTGGAGAGTTGTCAGTTTCATCTAATTGAAAGGAAAAGAAAAGCATGTTGCATACTACGTTACTAACAGCTGTTATAGAGTCAACAGTTACATTGATGCTATTTGGTTTCAAATCCCTGTAAGGGTAGTTCAAATTAATCTGAAGCTTTAATCGAATATAGTATTTCAATAACTTGTAAAAAAAAAATTATTTTTTTGTCACCATCTTCTTATGAGAACTATCTTTGTTTCTTTGACATTCAAGGCCAGACCTTGGATTTGCATCATGCCTCAGTGAAAATTGACTACTTGAGTTTAATTTAGCTTGAGTTTGAGGGATTTGGACATCAATATTGCACCTGTTGATGAATCTAAACACGCACACATGCAAGGACACAGACACTCATACCTACATATACATTGTGGATTTCCCTGCTCCATGCACAAGAGAAATCAGCGGAAATTCTGATACAAAACAGACACTCAAAAAATGGTTGCCTATCTAGGAACAATGCACGCAACTACACCCACATTCATATATATAATCCTGAAATGTCACATTGAGGATTTCCCTACTCCATGCACAAAGAGAAATAAGTGAAAATTCTGATACAAAACACTGACACTCGAAAAACTGGTTGCCTATACAAGAACTATGGTTAAAGGATCTAGAACACATCATGAAATATAAATTGAAAGGAAGACTTGGGAACTAAAACAAGAGCTGCTGCATCTAGAAAAAAGGAAAAAGAAAAAAAGACTTAAAGGGCTAGAAAAATACAAAATCAAACAAATATGAGAAACTGAACTAGAACATGAGTATGATAACAGATTTTATATATATATATGAGATGCAAGCAAGATGCCTCTGCTGGTTCCACTAGTGCAGTCTCTAGTCATAGCAATGACCTGGAATAGAAGTCCACCTATACCAAAGAGGAACAGGTTTATCTAAGAAGAGGGCTAGCCCACTTTGACTAGTGCAAGAATTAGGACAAAGTTAAAGATATGATGAATCATCATCGAGAATCACACAGCCCCGTCTTAGATTGAAAAGGCAAGGACTAGAATCACGAAATCACTGAATGAGAAGAATATTGCTTCTTCATTTTGAATTTTCAATCAATGAATGGAGAGCTCTCTGGATCATGAGATGTCACTTCATGCTTGGTACAAAGATAATTAGGGATTAAATTCAAGAAAAATATACGTCAGAACTTAAAAGGATTGGCTTTCTAATTATGAGAAGACCGTGTTTTCCTTCCCGGAAAAGTATGCCTTGGAAGATCCTTTACTCATTCTAATTAAACAAAAATTCTCTTTGTTATCTAAACCATTTAGTGAATGAGAATTAATCCATTGAATACGATGGATTAGAAAAACCATAAACAATAAGTTAGACAAAGTAAGACTTAAACTGCAAAAAAACAAAATTTGTACTAGATCTTGAGTAACTTTTGATTAAGCTAAACATTCATATAGATTGAAAGGATAAGCCATGTTATTTATCCTTAACGACGAACCTAAATTTTTTTAGCTGAAATAAATTATAGTAGTTTTTGTGAGAAAGATGTGCATATCTGCAAGCACGAATAGAAGTATAGTATCATTGATGGTATAACAAACAGACAAATTAAATTGCGAAGTCAAAGCAAACATCTGAGAGCATAACAAGAATAATCTCAGGCAACGAAATTACACTGACCTCAACAAGCCAATCAATTAAAATCCCTCTCATACTTTGAGTGATGTCTCGTTGCACTGTTTCCATAAAAGTCGGAAGAGACCTTCGGACAAGCTGCAGAAACGGAGTAATAAACAATAAGCTAACATCAGTATCTTACCAAGAGGGAAAAAAAGAGAGAGAGCTAGTGAATGTTTCCTCTTTCAAAGTCCCCACATATGGCATTAAAAACATGGAACATGCATGGATAAAAGCTTTAAAACCTTTTGTTGAAAAAAGATATGTGTTTGCATTCACAGAGAACGAAATTATGACAAAAAAAAGAGTAAAAAGAGAAGGGTAGATAAAGAATGGGAATTTTTTTGCACATAAAGTACAAACCTCAGCAACACGTAAATTGCTATAGATATCAGCAGCGTAGAGGCTGCAAAGTTGAGGATCCTTGTGATCGCTATCAATGTCTATAAATTCTTGATCATTTGATATCTTCTGATTCTCCAAAACATTACATTTCTCTGCCATGACCATTTGAGAGAAAAATATCAGTACCCGCTGCATGCATGCATACACCACAGAAGAAAATTTGGAGAACATTACTTTAAGGTAGTAGTTTATTCCCATAAGTTTGTGTGACTCGTGATATTCTATTTTAGCACCTTCTATTGTATAATACAAGCTAGGAAGTCTTACCCAGCAACCAGTGACCCAAAAAGGATTTGACCTCATAAATTCATTAGATGCATGTGGCTGAATAAGAGGGTTACTATTATGATAACTGTTTAGCTTTAAGAGGGTAACAATCAAATTCCTCGGTACCGTCTTTCTAAAGAAAAGCGTTGCATTTAAACTTTGCGGATCAGCTGTTCTAAGCATGACGGGCATGACACAGTGGTAGACAGTATGCAATAAAGTTGAAGGAATCAAAAGAGTTGAACAATGGTAATTGGCTTCAGCGTTTCTGCCAAAGTTCTTCTTCTTAGCAACATCTATTTTTAATAGATACCAAAATTAATTTTTTTATTTTGAGATCTTGAACTCCATGCAGCAGCTGCTGCTATAATGAACTTAAGCTTTTGAATCGTTGCTATAATTGCATGACATAGAACGCCTGATCAACAATTGATGGACTCCATTACATAAGCATACATTACTGTAACGGAGGAAACGACCAAACTTTGATTGCAAGGCTTCCTCTGTCAGACCCTAAGAATTTGTTCACATAACCACTTTGTCCTCTGGGCTCTCCATTTGACGAAAGCCAATGGACAATAGTGTACCAAGTAACAGCTTTTTTACCACTTTTCACTACTATAACGAATTGCACTTGTTCCATTTTTATACAACTCTGCCAGCTGCTTGGTCCTATGAGCTCTCAATTTGACAAAAACTCATGAATAATACTATAATTGTACCACATAACAGCCTTTTCAGTACTATAATTAACTTCATTGACTTCATAGTATCTCATTTATATAGAAGTAGGTTCAAAGAAATAAATAAGAACAATGTTACATAACTCGAAGACTTCATCAATGGATGTTGAAACAGGACACCGAATATACAAACCTCCATCCAAGATGCAAACCCCCCCCCCGCCGC